TTTTGCTTTTGAATGCTCTCTCTAAAAAGAAGTGTATTTTTTCATCTCTTGTGAAAATTGTGCACCCTCCCTCCCTTCCCTTCTGCCCTCTCTCTCTCTAAGTGAGCTATGTTCCTGATGACAATTGTGATTCTTCTCTGAAAATCAAGGTATTCGTGACGATTAAATGGTTGTGTTGCTAATAGAAAGGCTTACAACCATAAGAGCAACACCAACATTGTCAATGCCAACAACTGTGCAGAAGAAGTGAAAGTACATGATATTCAATGAATTTTGGGGATACAAGGGATAGCAGTGGTGGTGGGCATAGTAGAATGGGTATTTTGGTCATTAAAATTTCCCTCACACTAATATTACTTTTTTAGCAGCATCGAGCTAACTTCTGTCAATTCGGATGAAAAATCTAAAGATTTCGCTCGGGTCCAAAAGCACAAGGATTACATGCAAGTTTTTGAACTATAGGGAGGCGATGTGTATTGGGGGGAAATTACACGAAATCTATAATTTGTCCTTTATTATATGTGTTGCAATGGTTTGATGAAGTCCTTTGCAGGTACCTTATTGTCCGGAGCAAGAAATTGACAGGCTGGAGCTGATAGATAATGTCTTGAGACCGAAAGGTAAATGTAAAGATAATGCATATAAGAAAAGGAACATGGATGAAGCAATAGGAAAAAGGAGGATATCTAAGGAAGAAAGAGTCCGTTTAAAGGAAGAAAAAAAACAACAGAAGGAAGTAAGTCTTTATCCTGTTAGTATTTAGTTGGGCTTAAAATATGCCTTGTTGATATATGACCTGATTTATATGCACAATACAGCAAGAAAAGTTGCAAAAAGAAGTTCTGAGGGCTGAAGCTGTGGAGATGAAAAAACTACAAAAAGAAAGGCAAAAGTGGGAAAAGGGGAAGTTTGCTTTAAAATCAATTGTGGCTGAAATTGACCCTAAAATAGTTGAACTGGGTTCAGTTGGAGGCACGGCCTTTCTATACACTGCCTATATTTATTTCTGCAATTCAATATCCATTTCTGGTAATGTGCTGACACTTTTGCTTTCATAATTCAGGACATCTGCTTACAAGGTTTGCAGAAAAAGGTCTTACATATCGTATAACGTCAAACCCAATTGAACGATCTATTGTGTGGACAATGGCTGTTCCAGAACAAATTTCACAGGTCGTAAATGGGCATAATTTAATGAAAATTTCTGTACGCCTGCGATCTTTGAGCACCATTTTCCTTTTGTTCTGCACCATTGCGCCTTCTGTCCAAATTACAAAATTTCATTTTGTGAATAAGTGAAGTGGAGCTAATGAATTTATATAGTAGGGGTGGATTTTGAACCACCCTTGGTGATTTTTGCATTGAAACTGAATTTGTCTAGCTATTCGAATGTGAATTCTGATGCGTAAATGCTCAAATTACTTGTTTAATTCACATACACACGAGTTGAAAATAAATTTGTAGGTGCATACTTTAGAATAGTGTCTAAGACTATGGTGTTGCTCATGTACACTTAGTTCAATCATTTGATAAATTTGTTAAAAAGCTCCATGCTTGTAAGAATGAGGGAATATGTCTCAAGTTTTGGATATTTGAAAAGAGTTAGGAATGGTGGTTTGAACTAAATTCATGCTTTACATTTTGATGTGCATTTTGATATCTAAAAGTAGGAGACTATTTTTTGTATATTTAGTACATCAAAATTTTAAATCGCATTGCAATTTCAATAATAAATTGGGCACGATGGTTCAATTGGTGATTTGCAAGTGGAGTATATGTTTATGGTAGAGTAGAGGTCATAAAGAGAGTGTTAGAATGTTCAGGGGAGATCCTAAAATGAAAAGGAGTGGTGAAGGGTTGCTCAGCAGGAGTTCTCTGCAAACCAGCAAAACCGTACCGATACGCTTCATCTGACACACCAAAGGTCAGGTTTTTCTTTTTAATCAAATGTTTAAACCTTCACTTCCTACCTTTTTTTCAGCCCTAAATTCTCTCTCTCTAACTCAAAAATATCCCAACCCCCAAATCCCTTCAACTCTTTCTCAATCCATAAACCCACTTCCTTTTTAAGCCCTAATTTTGAGCAATTTCAAACTTGGAACCCTAGGTGCCGAATTTCCCAATCCTCAAGAAATCTCAAATCTCTCCAGGTATTTCCTAATGGCTCGTCATCTAAGGGTGTGCCTTGAGGTCATAGACCCGATTCAGGGTCTTCTCCTGCTTCTCCTTTCCTTCTTCGCTGTAG